GGGGGGGGGTGAAAATAGAGGGTCATGAGCTATTCTCACCAGGGGTGAGAATACAGAGGTGGCCTTTTTGGATTGACGCTTCAAATTTAATGACATACAAAGGAGTTCTTACTTAACAGTTTGGGAAATTGGTGTCTATCTAGACCACAAGGAGTAGTAAAAACTTGGAGAAAAACCCTGGCAGGAATATAATGAAATGTCAGCTGAATGATCTAGATCTAGATCTGGTAGGCCTTCAGCCTTCATTTCGTCAAGTTAAATTTTAATATAGTCTAGATCTATATAGATCTAGATCTACCTTTTAATCAAGATAGCGGTTGAAATAAAATCTTTAGCCTTCTAACCTTCTTCTATGAAGCAAGAAAAGTTTAGGAAGGGGGGTTATGTGAAGACCTTGATAATTTTGGAACTTTTATTATTAAACTGGTTTATTAGTAGTGTTACAGTTTAAGTTACTATTATTGTCATAAAATAGGCCCTTTGCCTATTCTATTTCTATTAATTGATTGTTAGAATCTAGATATAGATCTAGATCTAGATTCTAGATCTGCACATCGTTCATTGTCTTCAAAGTTCTTGCTGTTCAATCCTCTTGCAGTTGCAGGATGTTTTACTGCTAAATTCCTGAAGTTGACAAAAGCAGAGACAAAATGGGAGTAAAGGGGGTAGATCTAGTAAAGGGAAAGTTCAGTGTCTGTGAACTTGAACTTGTAACGAGTGACATTAACTAACATAAACAGTGTCATGTCACCACTGACACCAGTCCAGTGACAGTGACGACACTGACACACTCAGAAAATCAGGTTTGAATGAGCTGACTGACTGACATACTTTTTCCTGGGCCAGACAGTTATTATTGAGTAAAACATTTTTTAAATAAATTATTTTAAAAGTCACAAAATTACCAATCACGCCATGGATATCTGGGTTCACAATGAAACAGAAACTGTAAGTAACCAAGAGGAATGAAACAAGATATTGCGACCAAACAGCTCAAAGTCGGGGGTAGTATGTTATCGTTCTATCCCTACCGGAAGTAACCATTGATCCGAAGAGAATTCAGTATGAACTTCCTTCGTATCTCGCATATTTCAAAGAATAGCTTCATAATGATAAGCAATCATCGAAGAAACAGAACAAATAGAAAATAAAAAGTTGAATTGTGTGTGCAAGAAAAGAGAGGGTAAAGTCTCCTCTTCTGACCTGGCCATAAAGAGTTGAGACTAGCATATCTAAAATTTCTGGCTATTTATCCCTACGACCTGACGAAAGTTTGTTTCGACAGGCCCATAAATAATGGATACGATAGCTGTTGCACCTGGAATGAGCTTTCATGACTACATTAATATTATTATGGATTTGTATTATTGTTATGTACAAATGTATTTCGGTCAGCACTCTCTGTGATGTGTCAGCAAACCGCATATCTGCACGCCCAGATATTTTGATGAGCTCAAAGCCTCCACCAAGATCCGTCGTGTCCACTGAGTAATCTATGAGGGAAATGTATTGCGAAGGGGAAAAATAGATTGACATAGATTAGCTTCAAGAGTGGAAGAGGGAAGCATAACAAGAATATTTTTTTTTTATGCAACTAATCTTAAAAAAACAGTCGGCTATATTAGGCTACTCCCCTCTCAAATCGATAATGGAAAATGAATCTGGTTAGACGAGGAAGTCAGTACTGGAGCGAGCACGGAGTTCGCCAACGAAAGACCTTCATTCAACTCGGTGCATTTGACGTTCGTCAAGAACTTGTCCCCACACCTGGGAAATAACACCGCTGAGACAAGGCTGCCTTGAAGGCCAGAGATTGAGAGCTGGACTATCGTCGGAGGGTATACCACAAAGGCTTTTTACAGGTTTAGACGTGAAGTCTTGAGAACACTTTTGGGAGAAAGGGTGGGGGCAGAAATAGAGAAGGTGGGCATAGGTGGTGGGGAGAGAGAGAGAGAGAGAGAGAGAGAGAGAGAGAGAGAGAGAGAGAGAGAGAGAGAGAGAGAGAGAGAGAGAGAGAGAGAGGGGGGGGAATCAGTACATAGATAGTTGGCGGGGCTCTCGTGGCCTAGAGGTTAAGGTGTTAGCCTCTCATTCAAAGGTCCCGGGTTCGAATCCGGGTAGCGACCAAAAAACGTTCTTCTCTAAAATTGTCTCATTTCACCTCCTTCCCTGCTCTCAAGCAATGTTCTGTTGTCTGCTTTCATTTCCACTTTCTGCCCCCACCCCCTCACCTCCTTTGCCCCCTCCTCTGGGCTCCTGACTCTTTCTGCAGCCTTTCTACTGCTACTCCTTGGCCCCTCCTTACTGCTGTCTTTCTGCAACACCCCTGATCTTCTGGTAGGAAAGATCTACACCTAGCCTTCTCGGACAAGGGCGAAAAATCTCGGAGGGCCCGTGTGCAAGTTGCGCACGTTAAAGATCCCTTGGTGGTCTAAAATCGATAAGAGTAGGCTTCGCCGCCACCCGGGCAAAATTCAAAATTTCCTACCAACTGAAAATATTAGGTGTGTCCCGCGCGCTCATATGACCTATGCAGTTGCGAGCGCCGTAAAACACTTTACAAAAACAAAAGCAAAAAAGATAGTTGGTGCCTTTATAGACCTCTATGCAAAGATGTTATGGCGGCGACCACGTCCAGCTCTGGTGTCTGACCAGCCGACTGCTTTTCCGTAATAGTAATATGTACAAAGATAGAACAAAAACAAAAACAGCGAATAGATATAGATAATAAAGACAATAAAGACAAAGATCCAACTACGCCCCCCCCCCCCCCCCCCCCCCAAAACAAAATAAGTCTAGGAAAAATGTTTTGCTCCGTCACAAATTATGTAATGGTAATAGGTAGGCCTATGACAGTGAGTGCTCATAATTCATAATAGAGTCAGCTGCTGTTGCTGGTAACATTTATGTCATTTTGTTTTCATTATATAGGGTCTATATCTACCAGTTGATTGTTTGTTAGTTTGTTTGTCTGTTTTTTCGCGCACCACGTTACTTGAAATCGCGATTTATTTCGATTTTTTAAAGCATTCCGCGAATTCAAGCTGTGATCACGGAATGTTAAAAAGGTCTATGGTATTGGCCACACACACACACACACACACACACACACACACACACACACACACACACACACACACACACACACAAACATACAGACACACAAGCGCACAATTTTAAGTTTAACTGTACCGCTCGCTCACAGAGGAAGTTATAAATACGAAACGCAGATCAAGTTCACATTGTTGCAGTGGGGAAAGTCAATTTTTTGAATCACCTGTCTTAAATTCTTTGCGGCAAAAGTGAGGCGCACACGGGTGAGGAGATATTCGAGAGGAGAGTGGACAAAACTTCTCGACTTCATGTCACTATAATATGTCACCAGCCCGCAAACAATAATCATTAAAGTTAAATCATTGCATTGCTAGATCAGTCCGGGGGGCGCAAAACCCGAAGAGAAAAATGAAAGCACTGACTTTAGAGCAGTAATTAGTTGTCATGACGCATGGACCGTGCCTCCAGAAATATTTAAAAAGAGCTTAGGGAGGCGCTTGCAGGAACAGCAGCAAGATAACCATCAGCAGCAACATCGGCACGATCCTCATCATCTGCAGCAGCAGGAGAAGAAAAACAACAACAAAACAACTACCAATTTAAGCAACAACAACAACAACAACAACAAAACCGGAAAAAAACTAAACCCGATAACGACAGCAACTTATCTGAAAGAGGGTCAGGAGCAACCCGCCCCCCCAAAAAACAACAAACATACAAAAACCAACAACAATAAAAAACAAACAAACCGAAACCAAACAACGAAACACAACAACAACACAACAAAACACATCAACAAAACAACCCCCCCCCCCCCAACATTAAAAAAAATAATAATAAAATAAAAACCCACAAAAAATTCCATCAAAACATGACGCTAATTTAATTTTAGTAGGCCTACAACATTATGAAGTAACGAGCTAGCGGAGCTAGCACTCGAATAAAAAGAGCGACATGACATAAATTAGTTGTTTAAGAAACCAGATATATTCTTGCTCATGCCTCCTTCCCCGTTACCCGCCTCTTCCCTACAAATTACATGTAGATCTAGATCTAGAATCTAGTCCTAGGCTAATATAGATCTTCCAGCGAATCAACAAAATCTCAAGAATCACCGTGACACACCCCCGCAGCGGACGGTAAAAAGCAACAACGTAAAAAACTTGTTTCAGTGGACGAAAGTCAGAGATATCGAAAGTAAAATTGATACAATTGGTCCGAAAGCAGTTCAAGGCCCGTGAACATGTATTACAGAAATCATCTCGCTCCCATATTGATTATCTCAGTGATATACTATAACGGCACGGACATCAGATACATATATAATTCATTGTGAGATTAATTTCTCCAAATGTTGCTGTCTTTTAAAGAGAAGAAAATAATTGCGGTGATTTGCAAGACACAATAAGGCAAAACAACGAATGAATGCTTAATGAGAAGGAAATTACTATTCAGCCAATGAAATAAGCCTACACATGTGTTCCCGTCCACATTTGGAAACAAGCCCACTGGGTACGAGAGTGTAGGAAGAAATTTGGTGGCAGCAGCACAGCAGACGTGGCGAAGATAACCACTTGCCTTTGCATGGAAACGTCTGTCTGTGGAAGGAAGGAGTTCCTGTGTCTCCCCAGGAAGTATTCAGATTGTGGACTTACATTTATTGTGTAGCAGCTGATGGGGGAAAGTGTGATTGAAGTGTCTCAGCCGCTATCGAAATTCAATATTTTGCACCAACGGTCACTGTCTTATTTGTCCTCCGTGGAAAGCTATTCTAAGTCGTCGTGTGTGTCCCCTGTGTTTACAGTAGCGGATCAGAAGATGCAAGATGCTACGGTCTTCGAAAAATCGACTCAAAAACAGTTGGCACCAGGCCAGGGGTTCCCTATCCAAACCACTACCAGTTCAAAATCATGTGAACAAACGTCCGATCATATTGAAAATAAGCCATTGAACGGAAATGATCGCAATGAAGAAGGGAAAGGACTGACTAATGTCCATATGGTTGCATCTGAGGCAGCCTCTGTAAATACAGGCGGAGCGAACGCACCCCTTCATAGTTCTCAGATGCTTTGGTCGGTTCCTGCTGTCTCTGATTGCTCGAACGATGACAGTTATATTCAAGGAATGGCATCTCTAAATAATGGCGCAGTGACATTTCAACAGTTTTCGCCAGCATTATCTACTGTCAACTCTGCTGTGTACAGTTCTAATTTAGGATTTCCATCTAGCCAAGCTGCAACCACTATTTTGTCTCAACAAGGCAGAAGGGCTATTACTGGACCTAACAGTGTAATGAATTTTCCTAGACAGCAGCCGAATATGATGGTTAATTCTTGCAGCAACCCAAAAGTAATGCCGAACTGGAGTAATTCTCATCAGTCGTCTTGGGCTGCACAACAGCCGCAAGCATCACTGTATCCACCTTGGAATGTTCAGCAACGCAGATCAGTACCAAACATGAATGTTCTGGCTCCAGTAGCAGCGAAAAAGCAAGCTATTCAACAACAGCTGCAACAATCTTCTTACATGACCCCGTCAAAATTTAGACGAAGTACATCATTTCCTGGTCAGATGCAGCAAGTTGGTGCAGGACTGAAGAATCCTTATGACTTTTCAACGTTTGATGAAATGACTTTTCAGGTTAGTAATGTAGATCTAAATCTAGAGTCTAGGCTAGATCTAGATTCTAGATCTAGATATAGATATAGATCTAGAGTCTAGAATCTAGATATAGATTCTAGATTCTAGATTTAGATTAGATCTAGCCTAGACTCTAGAAATCTAGATTCTAGATATCTAGGGTAAGATTGAAGAATACCGGACCAGCGGACTGACTTTGCCTATAATGTCTCAACCTTAGGGCCTTAGGAGTTCATAATTTTCCCGTTTTTAATATCTCTCAATGGAGAATCTCGGACCGGTAGATCTATTCATTAAAATTTTGTCAGGGGGGAGACCCCCCTGAACCCCCCCTCCCCCCCAACCACCCGCCCCGCCTACCCCACATTCTCACGCAATAATGTACGAGTGGTCCAGTATTTTTCAGTCTTCCCGATTCTAGAATATAGCTATAGATCTAGATCTAGATCTAGATTCTAATCATATTTTTCCAAACAGGTTTCCTTAATGTGTAGCATAGATCTAGATTCTACTTAACACTGGTTTATCTTAAGATTAATTAAGAAGAAAAAAATTAAGAGGGGTTCTTGTGTTTCAGTTGTTATAATTTAAATTTTTATTGATTGATCCTCATGACATTGTCATTAGCCTAGATTCTAGATCTAGATCTAGTCTATTTAGATTCTAGATATCTAATATATTTATTTGAAAATTGTGAGGCATTGTGGTGAAATCAGGCGTTCGTCAAAATGAAAAAAATCAAATAAATCAGCATTTTTCTGGCCGTTGGGTGATTTTCTTCGAATATTCTTTTTTTTCGCTCAACACCTTTTGGAATCTAGAATCTAGATCTAGAGACTCTATGTCCATTTAAAAACACTTTTCTGTGTGAATGTTGCAAGAAAAGGCACAAAAATATAAATTTTCTATTTCTAAAGACTCTCAAACTAGATGGTGGCCATTTTCTCATTGATTTTACCTTTGAAATCAGGCGGCCACCTCCTCTTTCAATCACAAATTAAATATCTCGACTTTTCTCGCGTCTGAGTGTGGAGGGAATTTTTGTGATTTAGTTTTTGCTTTCGGGTGGCTATTAAATGCAAAATAGGCTACTGCCAAAATCGGTCAGTCTTGTTTTATGGCAGTACCTTTTGAAGGCATTTTCAATATGAAGTATAGGATCTAGTCCGGGAACATTGCCCCAAACACAATCGAAGTATCTGAATATTCAGAACATCTGAAAATCTCTTGCTCTAGAAATTGAATTCGATGCAAAAAAATGCTTTTTCCCATTCCTTGCAGAATGGTAGAATGAAAGATGATGCCGAACTCTCGCAAATAACCAAAAAATCTTGAGCGCGGAAACCATTCGGAGAGATAGAGGTCAAGTCAAGTTTTTTCCCGAGCGTTCGGAGAAATAGTCATGTCGTTAAGAATAAGATGATAACACAATAACTCGATAGAGGCTATCCCCAGAAATTGACGAGCGTCTGATTCCACCGCGTCGTGACATATATTATTTGACTAATGATTTTATGACATTTTGATCCTCTTTGCAATATTGAATTGGTTTTTATGACTATTATAGAGTCTACATTTGAAGTTGAAGCTGTTTTAATTTATTATATTCTGTGCAGTTTCATATGGTAAATGAAAATGTTTCATCATTATAATCACCATTGCGCTATGAAATCGAAGGATAGCCAGAGCCATAGGATGTTTGCACTGAAAAAAAACCAACTTAAAGAGATACAATTTGATTTTTGCCCTTAGACTGCTGTTTTGAAGTACGTCCAGAATGTAAAAGCTGTAAAAATGTGTTTTTTTGTTACAAGTACACTAGCGTTGTCTTGTGCCATAAAATGAAATGTAAACTATATATCTAGAATGTAGATCTGAGACCCAAAAAAATTTGAGATAGAAATGTCAGAATAAAAACACTGGAAAAGGTTTTAAGTAGATTCAAACATGTAGGCTAGCCATATTCTGATTTTAAGAAAGAGTAAGACTTCAGTTCATGTAGAAAAAAAATATTTCGAAGTCATTGCTCAATTTGTTTTGGGACGAAATTAAATGTTTGCACCTTCTTCATATTTGTGTTAACTTTTTTCCTTGGAAAATGTCATAAAGAATTCTCCCTGTTGATGTTCTAATGAATAATGTGGGCAGTTGGGATCAAAAGTAGTGTCAGCAGGTCATGAGGCCTTTCAGGTCTTGCTTTTAACTTTAGGTTCATTTTTTAAAAAGTTTGCTTCCCATTATCATTCACTGTGCCAGAAAGCGAATAGTATGACAATTGGGCTTAGTCCAGAAAATCTGGTCGCATGTCTTAGTTGCCTTCTCTTAGAACCTTGCAATTTAAGTATGATTACATTATATTTGGTACCTGACTTGTTAAAAAAGCAGTGTAAATATTACAAGGTGACAGTAGATATTATCATGGTGTTTGAGGTTTTTGGAAAAGGGAAGTTGAGTTCAAAGCAAATTATTACATATGGAAATGAGTTTATAGGCCTACTGCATTGCAAGTCTGCAATAAAATTTTGTCATGATCATGGATCTTGAAAGTATGTCAATTCAGTCTGTACAAACAGGTGTTATAAAGGGGCTTATTATATTAACTGAGTTTCCTTTGCCTGACAGAAAGTTTCCATTCTTTTATATCTATGCAGTTTATTTATAGTGTGATATACATCTGATTTTCAGACTTCGACTGGACAGTATGATGCAATGAAGTTGCCCAGTCTTGAGACTCAGCTTTTGGACATGATGAAAAACACATCTCTCGAGGGAGTTCAAATGCATGGTGATAATTTGAAAGGTGAGAATAGTTGGTTTTATGGGGAGCTTTTTAAGTCTGGTTTGGTAGATCACAAACTTAACTACAGAAGCTGTGTCATTTATTTGGCTGACAGCACAGTATCGTGCTTTCAGTGGTTCTCTCTCTTGCTTGCAGTTATCTTCTGACTGTTTTCCAAATTCCAAGAGGTAGTAATTAACACTTTTCACCCACACAGCATGCAGAGCAAGCAATACTTGTCCCCACGGACCAGGATACAGGTGCGGTACGTGCTATATCACACAGTCGCCGATCTGCATCCCGTGGAGAAAAGGGATGGCTTCTTACCGTCGCCGATTAGCGTCCCGTGGGGGTGTAGTGTAAAAGAATTTCTCACTCCTTTTGGACTTGCAGCTCTTTTGGATGATGTCATATATATAGATATGGTATAAATATCCCCCCCCCCCCTCTCTCTCTCTCTCTCACACACACACACACACACACACTCACACTCTCTCTCTCTCACACACACACACACACACGGTCGAAGTTTTGTTTTGGCTTATTGGAGCAGATGGCAAATAGAGGTGAATGAAGTGGATGTATCTTTCCTTTGGATGACCTATATGCTTGATAAATTAATTTATGCTAAGGAATAGCTTTTGTGACTTTGTGACCATCTCTAAGTTCTCAAACTCTGAATTGCTAATGGGTCATGACGTGGTGGAATCAGGCATTCGTCAATTTTTGGATAAGTGGAGTTATTGATATCATCTTAAAGCTTGTTCAGTTGTCTTTCTATCGGTGAAAAAAATGCCCGTCTATCTTGAATAGAAGTCAAGATATTTGAGATTGACGAAGGTGGTGTGGCCTGGTTTCAAAGGTAGAATTAGCGAAAATATGGCTGCCAAAGTTTGTTTATTTTCCATAGCATGATAGTCTGTGAAAACTGAAAACTTTCATTTTTTGTGCCTTCAATCAACGTTTTCAGTAAAATCCTTTCAGAAATGTGTTCTTAATTGGACCACAATGGTGTGATAAAAATTGCCGAAGTGGCAGAAAAATGCCAGTTTCTTCAATTTCATTATTTTGACCAGCTCCTGATTTCACTACGCTGTCTCACATATATCATTGTCTATTTTTTTCTTTTTATAGACTGTATCAGAGATATATAATGCTTAATGTGTGTTTAAAATTAGTCAAAATATGAAATTGGTAATAATTTTCACTTTTATGCTTTTATCAGTGGCTGGAAAAATGCCTTTTGTGATTGAGGATCCAATACTGGATGATGGTGCCCTTGATCAGACAGTACCCAACCTTGCAGGAACACCTAGATCATCTCCAAGCTCTCAGGGAATTGATAGGATCGAAAGATTTTCCAGGAAAGTTTTTGTTGGAGGCTTACCACCTGACATAGATGAAGGTAAGTAATTTTATGAAGATTTAAGATGAAATAGAGGTGGTAATGATCCGTAATGGCCAGGTCTTCGAGGAAGAGTTTTTAGGGTGCTGGATTTACAGTAGTAATGTCAGGAGTGCTTAAGATAAGAACCTGTGTCCTTTGGAAACATACTTTTACCTTTTTCCCCATTTTTCATTAAACTAAGGGGCCAAATTCATTAATGAGGAAATCCAGATTCCTGACACGATCCGGATTTTGCCCAACTTTAGGCCAGTTATTGAGAAGTAATTAGTTGCACTTTATATATATATATATTGATCTAGAGAGAGGTTGTAAATTTTGATGAAATTTTTACTTTTCCTAACATAGCTTGTAAGCTCCTGTTCCAGGCCCATAGGGTGTTTAGGAATACATTCATGCCATACATCTGATCAAAGTTTATTATGTGCAGAAACAGAAAATAAAGGAGTCATGAATGTCATGTTATCATGTCTTATCATTATTGGGCAAGGGTCATAAATATGACTTTAAAAGAATATAAGAATCTGATTCCCTTCTTAATGTAGTTTTCATCACTTCATCACTGCCAAATAGTTTATTGCGATTATCATCAGTCTTTACTCTGAATTTTGAAACAAGTCGACTGCTTTTTCTACTGTGATTCTCCCACCCTTAGGCCTGTGTTATGATCCAGACTTCATTGTCGTATGTACAGCTATTGTCAACCAAAATAAAAATTCTAAATTTTTCTCTTAGTCAAAAAGAAAATGAGTGCTCAAAGACAACACATGTTCAGTCAACACATGTATTTAGTTGACTGACTCCACACTGGATGTAAATACACTTCCATAAAACCAGGCAATATAGCTAGAAAGAAAAGATGAGAAATACAGATAAATGCAGTGTTCTTCCATAGCTGTGGGATTTCCTGACAAGCGCTGTAAGCGTTGTTCCGCGTTGAAAGAGTTGAAAGATTGCAGTTTGACTTGTCTATGGTATTGATCCTTTTTAAAAACTTGACAACTGAAAGCATTTTGTTTTTTTGCGATATGATATGAAACTTTGAAAAGTGCTAATGCTGTTTTATCATAATTATACATTTGCTTATATGGCCTTTGTTATGTGCTGTATGACTTGTTGTTGCATGCAGCATAGTTTTTCATTTTTTTCATGTTTCTTCTTTGTTGTAATTGCAGAAGAAATCACAACTGCCTTCAGAAGATTTGGTGCTCTAGTTGTTGACTGGCCTCATAAAGCTGAGTCGAAGTCATACTTCCCCCCAAAGGGTAGGTTTTGAAATGATAGTCTTGTCCTTTATCTAATAATTTTTTATAAAGTTTAAGAATTTTATGTGGCTGATATTTCTCATGGGTGGCTGTGTTGATGTAATATAAGTTTTATTCAACTTTCATTCCTGTTCGAGTTTTTGTTTTTGGCTGATTTTACATTCTTTGAAGCCTGTTTTTATCCAGTTTGCAGTGGATTTTTTTCAGTTAGAAATATAAGTTTGTGTGGATATTATTTCAAGGGAATGGAATTACATAAGGAGATTCCTGCTACATGATGAATAAAATGTTGAGAAAAGGAATCTGGACATAGCCAAGACAATGAACAAACGAATGAGGGAGAGCTTTGAGTTTCTGAAACCTTTTTTGGTATCTGTAGAAGGATTTAATTGAAGACATGCTGTGCATTTTTGCAGGTAAAGTCAGATTTGCAAGTCTAATGATCATATATGACGATGCTTATACTTCTTCATTGGTTATAGTATTTGGACTGACGTCATTGCAACCAGACATTTACTTCCAAAGTGGGCCTAGATCTTGTCTACTTTCAACAATCTCTAAAATTCTTTTTGCCTTTGTTTTCCGCTTGGAAGGCAATGTGATAATTTACTTGTGTAGTAGGTGTAAGAGAATGTTTTCTTTGTATGTCACCTGTGACACCAGTGACAAACATTGAAAATGATTCCCCAAAACATGTCGGACTATAGGGAAATTTAGTGCTCAAATCAAATTGTAATAGATATAATCCAAGTTTATGTAAATAACATGTTGGTTGGAAACTCATCTAACCACAGTTGAAAGCTGTAAACTAAAGGCAACTAAATTATTCATCATACTTGCAGTGGACACTGACTGTGTTAGATAAAGCTTGGAATCAAGGGGCCTATACCGTAAATGCCTTACTGTGTTTGGACTTTTAAATTGAGAATATCATTGGGAAAACAGAAGTCAGTGTTTTAAAATTTTGAGTTGCTTTGCATCAGAAGACCTGAAGTTTAAAAACAAATATATAAACAACTAGTGAACTTACCATGTATAGCTGCTATATGCTTTTCAATTTCCTGGTGAACAGATAGATTAAACCATAAACGCGTTTTGTAACTTCAGAACTTTGTGATGTCTGTGTGCTGAACTGTATTGTGATTACTTTTAAGAATTTGAAAATTAGAATTTTTGAGGGTTTTTATTTTATTTTTGGGAGGTGAGTAAATGATTATACAATTAAATGTTTGTAGGTGGTCCTTGGAGGAGTCTCTACATTTTAACATTTTTTTGGTTCATATTTTCTGCTTTGTACCTGATGTAATATTTGATATTTTTCAGGTTACTGTTTTCTGATATTCCAAGATGAGCTGTCTGTTCAGAGTTTGATTGAAGCTTGTCTGATGGATGATGATAAACTGTATTGGTGTGTTTCAAGCCCTACCATGAAAGACAAGCCCGTAAGTTACATTGCAGAAATCTTGACAAGTTGTTGGAATGCAAACTCTCATGATCATACTGCATGTTTTATGGAGTAAATCTCCTAATGTTGCAATCATTTAGCCATGTACTGCATTATAAGACCATGTCAGTTCCTGGGAGACTAAGTTGACGACTATAAGCACACTGTTTTTAGTTGAGCTGAAAGAAAATTATTAGAAATCTGTGTAACCTTGTTCTTTGACTAGGCATTTAAATGAAAGCTATCCTGTGGTGTTGTGCATAAATGTTGATGTAATTGACTTTTGTTAAAGAGAACTCTTTTTATTCGAAGGTTAACTCTTGACTTCTATGCCCTTGAGATGAGGACTATTTCATTGATCAGTTAGTATATAAATAGTACCTGGGTTTTTTTCATCAAGGTCAGTATTTAAAGAACTGTAGAAGAATTTCAAAGGCTTGGATAAATTGGATGTGGTTTAGTGGAGATGGGTACCTTTAATATTGGGATTAAAGTGAGAGTCATTACGAAACACAATTTCTCAGTGAGTAAACTTTTTCTTACCTCACAGGTACAAATTCGACCATGGAGTTTAAGCGATTCAGATTTTGTTATGGATGGCTCTCAAACTCTTGATCCAAGAAAAACAATCTTCGTTGGAGGAGTGCCAAGACCCCTTAGAGCAGGTAGGCCTACTTGGTATACATGCTACTTGTTATTTCATTTCTGATGATGAATATTGCAAAGATGGTACTGTATGTCTGAATTGTGAATCTAAAATACAGTCTCTCTGAGCAGAGTAAATGAATGAAATGGATGAATAATAACAGTCTATTGGTTATTGTGAGATGTTTTGTCTTGGAGGTACTGGGTGATAGTCCGCAAATAGCAGAGCATAGAAATGTATAGCATGCTTACTGATTCTTTGCACATATGAAGAAGAGGCATTCTTCCATTGATTGTAATGCATGGGAAACACTTATTCTTTAATGCTCTAAAGAATCTATTTCTTTCCTTACTTTTGAACTAAGGAAGAAACCCTATGTTTTTAGCATTTTACTTTTTTTTTTTTTTAATTCTCAATTTCGAAGAAAGTATACCCCCCCCCCCCCCGGGGCAGTGCCACCGACTGTAGTGTCTTTAGGCCATTCCCAAAGGGGGGACATTTCTCGTTCAAGCATAGTAGAATTGTAAATGGGCTGACTCGTGTCATGCTCATAACTGTGCCTGATCTACAACCGAGAACTGCTGCTTTTTCTTTCCTGATCCTTACTATTGTCATTTTCCTCAACTTCTTTTGTATGTTTGTCACTCTCTTGTGACCTTCTATTTCGGGGGTGCCTTGATAGTCGAAACAGACCTTGTGCTTTTGAAGCTAGAGAGGTGAGCAGTCTTAAGTCTGATTCCCTGTTAAGACTTCTCTGTTGACACCCACACCTTGGCGCTGATATGACCTTCAGTTGCGAGCGCCGTAAAACCCTCTATTATATAAAACAAAAAAAGAAGAAGAAAGTATTTTAACACCAAATTGTTTAGAGAAATAGGGGGGCTCTCATGGCCTGGAGATTAAGGTGTTCGCCTCTCATTCATAGGTCCCAGGTTCGAATCCGGGTAGCGACGGAAAATTTTCTTCTCTAAAAATGTTCTCCTTTCTCGTCCTTTCCTGGTCTCTAACAATCACTTTCTGCCCCCACCCCCAAACCTCCTTTGCCCCCTCATCCGGGCTCCTGACTCTTTCTGCAGCCTTTCTACTGTTTCTCCTTGGCTCCCCCTTACTGCTGTCGTTCAGCCACATTCCTGATCTTCTGGTAGGAAAGATCTACACCTAGCCTTCTTGGACAAGGGCGAAAAATTTCGGAGGTCCTGTGTGCAAAATTCAAATTTCCCTACCAACTGAAAATATTTGGTGTGTCCCACAGTGTCCCGCGTGCTCATATGACCGTATGCAGTTGCGAGCACCGTTAAACACTTAAAAAAAAAAAAAAAAGAAAAGAAATAGGTAGGCCTACAGGCTTTTTCTCGTCAAATGCCCCTACTTCAAGCTCATTGCTTTTGTACCTCATTTTGTGTTCTTCCCAAAATTTAGAACATTTTAAATATGGAATAAAAATCTGATTATATTGCCAAGAATTTGATTTTATATTAATGTGTATCAGTCATTGTCACAAGTCCATGATTCTCTCGATACGAATTTTGAGAATGAGTTTTGTTAATTTGTTGGTACAGCTTTTTTAAAACTACTTTCTGACCCTTGCAGCTTATTGCTTGAGAATTTCCTCTTTGTGCACAGATAATAGAAACGGAGCAAGGCTCAACAATTTCTTTGCTCATGAATGGCTTGCAATTAAAGTATAAAAAATGACTCTTTGTTCATCGCTGTACATCACTAGGTGTGTGGACCTTATCAGTGACTAACTCTATCCAAACACAAAATTTGCATTGTATCCTCCTTTAACAGTTATTTGTTGTTGTTTCAGTTGAGCTGGCGATGATCATGGATCGTTTGTACGGCGGAGTTTGCTATGCTGGCATAGATACAGACCCTGAGTTGAAGTATCCGAAAGGCGCTGGCAGAGTTGCATTTTCTAACCAACAAAGCTACATAGCGGCTATCAGTGCTCGTTTTGTGCAGTTACAGCACGGTGATATAGATAAAAGGGTATGTATACTTTATGTCCACTTTTTTCGTGGAATATGTGTGTGTATGTATAATTTGTTTTAAAACGTTTATGTTTGTATTACTTGATACAGTAGTCTCCGCCTAAGATCCCACCGCTTACGATCCCGGTTCGCTTAAGATCCCGTTGTTTTAGGAAAACAGAATTTTTACTATACAAAAGTCACCCCTAAGATCCCGCTCTGATGGTCTACATTCGGCTAAGATCCCGCATTTCAGATCATAATTTGCTAAACCAAAACCCGGGAGGGCACAGCCGATCAACCTAGAGTGAAAAGTTGAGATCAATAAACTGTCCGTCGCGTCAAAGATCAACCACTATCGTGAATGGGATCACAAACACGTTGTAAAACTCGATGAAGCGATACAATGTTTGCCCCAGACGGGATCACACCGGGGTGTGAACTGACCGATGCGTTTGTTTTCCCCACGCATCGCACTCACACCTGAGCTCGCCACCTAAACTTGCATCACTCGCTGGGTGGGTAGGGCCTACATGTTCGCGCTCCAGGCAGGATCACATCGAACCGTGAACTCTTCCTTGACCATGCAGCAGTTGTCTGTACTCCCGAATTTGCGAGACAGACTGAATTTTAATTGGTGGGTTCACAACGTAATGGTGTGTAACGACAAAGGCGGTTTGGAGGGGGGGGGGGGACTCGGTCAGAGATGGAAAGCTATACATTTTTGACAGGTAAAGAGGAGGGGCAACTGGATAAGCGTAGATCTTGAGACTCATGATAGGATTATAATAGAAGTGAAAATGGCACGCCTCATGCCACTATGCACCGTGATAGGTCATCAACGTTAACCACTCTTTGCTCGCCATATGCCATAAACCCACCAAGGGGGCACGTCAGTTCATTGTAGGGAGGAGGGAGACCATTTTACCGATTTTGAGCCTTAACATGGGTCACCGTAGATTCTTCCCTGGGTTCATCGGTTAAGATCCCGGTTCGCCTAAGATCCCGCATTTCCTTGCTCCCGAGCACCGGGATCTTAGGCGGAGACTACTGTAATTGTTTCAATTGTCTTTCAAGTAAAAAAAGTCTTTGCTTACCAGATGTATGTTCATCTGAACTGGCCTCTAGCAGCTTTGTGATTGTGCACTTTTTTCCTGTTATCAGTTAACAGTCACAATTCGACAGTCTATTTAGAGATTTGAGAAATAGCTTGTCGTCCAAGCAGAAATGCTTGAATTTCATGGGCAACTTGGAGCAGTGTCAGCGTGGAACTGGTAACCAATCAAGAAACCTTCTGCTACAAGCCTGCTCAATGCTGACAGCACTAAGAAGGAAAATGTGGCCCAACCTTGGACAGAGAGGCCCAAAACTCTACGTGAGTCAGGATGACTTGCTGCGAACAGCAGCCTTCGCACTAGAGGCTGAGATGTCCTTTTAGAGATTAACGAAAAGGAAGAAAAAGAAGAATAATTTCATGAAAGTAGCTTCCACAATCAAGAGTAGTTCTGTTATTCCCCCAATGAGTAGTAAGTCGATTCAGCTGTGAGCACTGTGATGAGTTTAGCTTAGTCTTGGATATTTAGTTTTAAAAAAAAGGCTTGCATCAGGCCAATGGCCATGAACTATGAGATAAACAGTGACAGAAGAAAAGTCTGCATTTCACGTAGAGCTGTAAGATCAGGAATTCGAATCCAATGAAGAAGTAGGGATGCATAGCTGTTTTGTTGCCAATTTTCTTTTGTTGTGAAAGAAGTGTACAGTTTTCTGGATGGCTTGTATTCTCGGACAAGTCTTCTGGTTTCTCTATGATGAAAATTAGCTTCAGTCCATGGGAATAATGCTCGCACATCAATCAAATTATTGCAGCTCTTTATTAGCTGCTGATGTTGGCTAAAAAGATTTAGTTGTGGGTTGCCAGGTAGTGACTCTTTTATTTTTTAAAATACGCTGATCAGATTATTTATTTTGAAATCTAAGAGGTTGTACCCAGTTACTATATTTTATTAGTTCATATGGAAAGGTCAGATGTGTTCTTAAAGTGCTTTTTTTCCCTGTTCTTCAGCAGAGGTCGGTTAAGGCCAAGTGGAGCACTGTATTTCTTATAACGTCAGATTTCTTCAGAGTCTCAAAATGTTCTTTTTCTTATCGTCTTACAGGTGGAGGTCAAGCCCTATGTTTTGGATGACCAAATGTGTGACGAATGCCATGGCGCTCGATGTGCAGGAAAATTTGCACCGTTCTTCTGTGCAAATGTCACATGCTTACAGTACTACTGTGAATACTGCTGGGCTCAGATTCACTCGAGACCTGGTCGAGAGTATCATAAACCTCTAGTCAAAGAAGGAGCCGATCGTCCGAGAGCAGTACCTTTTCGATGGTGCTAGAGTGATATACTTCTCTCCGCGGAAAGCAAGTGTTCAGTTTAAATTTGCATTTTCTCTCCTTCTAGTCATCGTTTTCTTTGAAAATATTTTTTAGTAAAGTTATTCTTTTAATATTTAATACTATTACAATCATAATTTTTTTTAGAACTGTTACTATTACACTTGGTGTGTCCCTAGTCTGATGAGCCATTTTGATAAAAACTATTTTGTAAGATTTTTAAGAAGTCAACGAATATTGAGTCTGCTGTGTGACATTTCCACTTCCTGGGGATGAGATGATTTTTAAAGTGCGGAAATAATTTTTATTCATTTATCTGTCTCCGTCATGTACCAAATAAAGTAAGTGCGGTCTGCGTCCACAAATTGATGGGGGTAAAAAAAAGATGGGGAAACCATTTTAGCCAACTTTGATAACCCGAGCCATTTTCAAACTCCTTCGTGGTTTAATATTATGCTACACAAATAACATTTGATCCAGTGTACTTATCACTAATTTATAACTTTTATAAAATAATGCTCTATCTCGTGACAATTTTTTGCGACTCCTAGAATTTAAAATATATCAAGTACAACAATTTCTTGTAATAGTAGTAAAGAAAAGTACTTATTGAAGGTCATGGGAGAATAGTATAGTGAGAGTCTTTTGGCATTGTAATGATCATGATGTGGGTCTTGTCTCTTTAGATCGGTGATAAAACGACCAACGACTGTTGTAAAAACAATTTTTTGAGCAGAAATTAGAAGTTAACATTCCTGTGCACATCCATTAAGGGCAGAAAACATGAGGTACCTGGAAATAACAAACTAGAGTAGTGATTTTACTTAAAACTTTAAAAAGTTCAAAAAATCAATTCAATGCTATCTATGATTAAAACGAATTTATGTAGTAGTTTATGCAGCTGAAAAGTACAATTGAAAAGCTAAATTAAAATTAGTAATGATGTAGGGGGAAGGGAGTTTGCTGGTGGGTTTATGGTATATATGGTTATGGTGAGGTGGTTTATCTTCTTGAAAAATTGATAATGTGCACAGGAGAGAAGGAGTAAACTAACATGCCTGTTGTTCATTTATACATTCTTTGCTGGAACACGTGATGTGTAAATAATGCTGTAGAAAATATGATCAAGCGTGTACCTGAGATTGTTCTTCCTCTTCAAATGGGATTTTGAATCTTTTTTTTTTTTTTGGGCTTGCCTTCTTTCCTCTAACTTTTGCAGTTTGTGAATAAAAACTGCTGAACTATTGCATGCCTACATGTAAGGAATGCTTGGCTTCAGACATTTATAGGAAATTAAAATTCAATTCAAGATACTTTGGCTTTGCTCCTGGTAATAAGAAGAAATGCCACTGAAATCTGATTCAAAAAATTATTTGCCATGGGCGAAAAAAAGCTGCTGCTAGTGTCATGATTTTCTTTTGAATGCACATAAAAGGCGCAACACATCCTGCATTCTTTTGCGAAGTTCAAATTTTGTTCTCAATCACATGCATTTTCTACTTTAAACATCCATGTCCTCATTCTTGTCTTGTCTGATACGCAAGTGAAAGGAGAATTGTAATTTTATAGTCTATTTTAATATGTGTGCCAAGTTGGCACCACAGCTAAGTTTTATGAAACATTTTATTTATGCTGCTTAGTCACTTATCCTTAAAATCCAGGGTTGTATGTATTAATGGTGCATTAATATGACATCTCTTTCTAATGCCTATTATCGTAGTAGTCCCCTGTACTTTTTTTCAAGTACGTTACTCATTTTTCAAGAGCCACAAATTAGGTCCCTCTGCTGTATGCAAAGTTTTTAATTTGGTTTCAGCCTTAGTTTTAATGATATGAAACGATTGTGAAGGGGATTTTTATGAGGATAGTGTGAAACATGATGTGAGAAAGGTATGGTTAAAAAAGAAATATTTCAAAGTTGTTAGCGGAGTTTAAACAGTTTGTGTTTGTAAATTTTTAAAAACAAACATCCTGACTCACGTTTAATGTAATTTGGTGATGTCTTCTTTGTCATATTCCTCCATACGCTAGTTGGTCTGTTGATTGATTCATTTTCAGTTTCCCCTGGGATTCCGCATGATAGAAGAGTTAGCTAAAATTGGTTTGAAATCAGATACGCGTAAAATTGAGTAATAGCATGAATGTAGAAGGCTCTCGTATTTTTCTTTGGTTCATAGAATCACTCAGCTTTGTGTGAACTTGAATGTTTGTATTCTGATTTAATAATGAGGAGGAAGACTCACATTCAAATATTAAAGCTTTAGTGGGTGACCTTTCAGAGTAATCTCTTACAGATACTAATACGTCATACTTCCTACCTTCTCTGTGGTATTTTTCATTGCTGTAATCCTACTGATTCTTTATCTGCATCAGTGATAGTTTTCTAACTGAGTTCTTACATTTGACACTTGATTTGTCACTGTGTCAGTGTACAGGCTCATGTACTTTGAAACAAAGTGTGTCAGGAGCGTGTTGAAAATTTACTGAAGAGAGCTGTGAATTGTGTCGCATTTGAGCCTTTTCATCCTAGTTGAGGGGACAATAACTTGTCAGCATTTTTGTCATAAAGTTTCAAAGCATTTTGGTTTCTTGGGCTGTTTTAGAATTCCTCTTACTTTTTGTAACAATTGTAACATTTTTCTCTCTAAACTTGAATGAGGCTACTTCGGTCCTGATAAAATTGGAGACCCTTCGTAACTGTTGATTAAAAAAAAAAAAGAAATCTTTCTTTTATTGGAAAATAAGTCACTTTTGTATAATGGAGGGGGATAGGAGCCTTCTGATAATATGTCTGGGGAACCCAGATGGCCTGCCTTGATTACTTATTTTACTTCAGGACACAGTATTTTGAGGTGTTTTCAACACATTCTGTAGGGACCCCAATAATAAATAATGACAGGTGTAAACAGGTTTTTCATTTTCGTTCCTCAACATCTGTATAACCTTGATGAGTCAAATAATTATCACTCTTACAGTAACCGCTTTTTCTAATGGGATATAAGATTAAGGGCATAATGCAAATTCTTGAAAAAAATAAAAATAAATAAAAACTCTACCAGAACACGAAGACAAAGAATTACTTCTGGTAGATATAGAGGGTAATGAAAATTAAAATAAAAAGAATTTTATTTAAATTTTATCATGGTCTTAAAAACAAAAATGGCTGAATTAGGGTGGTAATAAACTTTGCCATCTTTCATTTCTTTATGTGCATCTTGAAAAAGAATTGTTAATACAGCTGGTCACCTATGACCAATAAGGTGTGGACCCTTGTGGAGGTTATCTGGCCTGCACAGTCTCAATAAGTGAAAGTGTCATACTTTGTTATGAGTACCATTTTGATATGCTGGTTATGCGTCTTGACACCAACACAAAGTTTTGTCAGTTGACGATTTGTTTACAATATTATTTTGAGAAATGACATTTTAAAAAGATTGGTTGGAAATTTGATCACATATTTGATCAAAAGTTTATACTGGTTTACCTGACATTTGTGTGCAAATGCATAGAAGGTTCTTGTCTAGAGCAACTTAGTCTTAATCATTCTAAATTTTCCTTTCAATCTTTTGAGGAGTGAAAATCTCAGGTTCATGCTTTCCCCTAAAGCACAGCATAATGTGATGTGAAGAATATAATTTTTCCTATTTGTGATTTTTGCTTGTATTAATGTAAAAATATGTTGTCGTGATATATGACTTTTGTGAGTCAAAATAGTTTCTTGCCTTTTTTTCAAAGTGTGGATTTGAGTGGCCTTTGACAAAGTAAAATTTCTTGTGGAAGGGTCAAAGTAAATATTGTAGTATAGTATATGATTGTTTTGGACAGCTTGCGTGGCACTGTTTTTCTCCTTTCAAAGTAAATCTGAATGTTTCAAATGAAAACAATTATTTTAATACTGGACGTTAACTGAAGCTCTTCATTCATTTCCTGTGCAAAAGAGTTGTGGTGTTGTGCTGCGAAATACAACTTGACATTTTCATAATTTGGAAGCTAAACTTTGTGGAGGAGTGTGAGGGATAGTCTTATGATTTCCAGATTCCAAAATTGATTGATAACCAGTAACGTTCATTTGTAAAAAAAGCATATTGCCTGATCATTTTTTTCCCATTCATAAGTCTTGTGCACTTTTTTGTAAGAACTATTATTTTGAAGATTTACTGAGCTGTTTCTGTATGTATTCAGATTCATCCAGTGTAGTTTTAGTGATCCTGTTTGTTTTTAAAGGTTAAACATTAGTTATCTCATGGTACATAATTGTTCTTTTATTATTACTATTTGTTTCTTTAAATGTCTGAAGTTTGTTTAATAATATTAATTGAAAGAGACTTGGGAATTTTGAAAGGTGAAGGGTGTGTGTTTGGGTGCATCAGAGACACCACATCCACAATGTGTTGGAATCGGGAATCTGATTTGAAATGTTGTTTTCATTACATGCCACCTAACTGTTTTTATAATCTCAAATTCATAGTTTGTCCATACCTGATGGACTATCTCTTCCACAAAAGACAATGCAAACAAAATTGTCCTGCTTGGAGTCTACTAGAAACATGTTTTATTCTGTAGTTGTGTTGACATTGTGTGTCATTAAAAAAAAAAAATTTTTGTCTGAAGAAAAATATCTTGATTTTTATCCCACATAAAGGTTTTAAGATTAAAACTTTCCAACCACAAGACAGGTGTACATGTGTCAGGCAGATACGAAATGCTAGTTAATTTGTTTCTTATGTTCAACCATTTGTTTTAGAAGGCAAGTGTCTGTGTCTATTACAGATACAATCACTTTCAAAGATAGTACAAAATCAGACATTGGAAAGCTATTCCCTTTAATAAATCTTTGTAACTTCTAAAGATTTGGATAACCCAGCTCTCACTACCGAGGGAGAAAAATGTCTTAGCCCAAACCAGATTAAAATCTTTGTATAGATCGGACAGAATCAACAAACTCACATTCTCTTGATCAAAGAGTCCTTCCGACATCTAATCCGCTTTCTCATTTACATTCTCATCCAATTCCCTCTTCAGAGATACCAATCTTTTACCTGTAGCATGAAAATTAGCTTTACAGTTGTCTTTTAAAAAGTATGTTGAAATGCTGATATCAAGGAGAAACTACGGTAAAGACTGCATTTGTAGCGAATTTGACCACTGGAACCATTGTGTATGGAAAGTGTTAATCTTGTGTAAAATTGTTAGAGTTTTTTCTCTTTGTTTGAATTGTGGAAAAGCTGTGTAACAGTTTCTATTTGACCTTTAAACCTTTTCAGTTTAGATAATGGACTTTACCCACTGAGTCAAAATTACTCTTTTGCCTGCAACTGTCATGATGATGGGATATCAATTTGCAATGTCACCCAAGGCTTTCGTGACCTTAAGTGTTCTTACAATTTTTGTCTTTGGAATTTGATTTACCCTACACTGCAGGGATCTTATTTATTCATTAAACAATTTCTTGTCCTTTCTTCTATTCTGTTCACTGCAATGTGTAGTGTTTGTAGAAATGAACACAGCATTTACCATTATTCTTGTCAGCAAACTTGGAGTGATATGTAGAAATAGACTTAAAATTTTTTATGCATGCAGATTATTTTTGTAATATTTTTTTTGGTAATTTGTATTTCACATCTGTGATGATTTTCCCCAAAACATTCTATGGGTAGTATTGTACATATTCTATACTTATATATATAATATATATATATATTTATAACTGACATTTTTTTGGTGTATTTTCAAGATTTCCCCAAAGTTCACTCAACATATTTTTGTCTCAAATATTTCAGTATCCAAGGTCCATTTAGAAAGCATTCCATTATTTATCCGTTACTGCTATGCTTTGAATTTTCAAGTGATCAATTGAAATGGTACTAGAAAAATTTGCAAGACTGTCAATAAAATTTTTACTTTCTAAGGATCTAACAAAATCTTTGTCTGATATTGTAAAAAAAAAAAATTATCAAACAGGGGGAGTGAGTTGTGGAACGTAGATGTTAATTTTCATTTTTTAAAATTTGCTTAAAAAGTTACCTTTGTGTAACATTCAAGAGGTCTTTTGTCTCTTATCATTAGTCTGTACCTGTAGGAATGCTGCAAAAAAAGTTTTCTTGCCGTTTAACTTTGTCATGTTTCCTGTAGGTACGTGATTTATAAAGTTTTTTCTAGACATTATATGCATTATATCAATTTATCAATTTTTCATGTTTTCACCTTTATTCTTGTTGTCAGTGAAGCATGCTGCTGTGCAAAGTTTTTTTTGTTTAAAACATTGTCTTTTTAAATTTAACATCATATCATTTCCTTAGATAGTCATGTTATGGATATTTCAAATGATTTCCAATTGTATAAGGGTCTCAGAAGTGAAAGGGTCTTAATGAAAATTGAACAATTTTTATCAAGAAAAACTGCCAAATGATGGATACATAGTGGGTACCAATGTTGAGTACTGCAGAACATGAAATATTTAAATGTTGAGGAGAGTTGAAAGAATTACAACATAATGGCTTTCCCCCCGCATGTATAGTGTCAATGTCACTGTAAGCTCATATTTAAAAATAGACTGGTGGGAGGGAGGGATTGCACTCATGAAAGCTGTGTAAATAGGAGCTCAGAACTGCCACCTTTTTTATGCATTGCTTTCATCTTTTCTTATTTTCTGACTCTTACAAACACCAGAAGTTTTTATAATTTTATTAAATTTGCGGTGATTTCACTTGAATGGTAATTTTTGTGAGCATGATGAGGCATGTGTGTGTGTTATTAAATTTTAAAAAGTAAAATAAATGTAGAACAATCCCCTCTATTAATGGAATCTTCGAAAATTGACAGGGGTTGTTGGCTAGAGGAGGTTTCTAACCAAACCTTTCCAAGGCTTGGACTTGAAACCTGAGATTGGTTTGAAACTCCAGGAAGATGTGAAATATCTTATAAATTTATGAGGGTTTCAATACTGTAATTTAATTTAAAATAAATATTTTGTCACTCTGTTGGCTCTTCTTTTGGAAGTGGCTAAATGTATGGCTTTTATCACCCCACATACAGCAAACAGATTACGGTATATTTAATAACTTTTAAAGCAGCAGTTTTGTACCTGAAGCCTAGGCAAATCGATTTCATTCGTTGTCAAAAATAGCAGAAACATTTCTGCTTGATGCTGCTTTTCCTCTGCTGATACATGCAAATGTCATTTTTTACCCATAGGTGAGATGGATGATTTTAACTCTCTTAGTGGCATGCAATGTCATTATCCTTGTAGCTGACTGTGCTGTTAATTGTCGTACTGCAAGATTTTTTTGAAGATTGGGATAAACTGAAGGACAATGTTTGGTTTGCGCTAAGTTCGCCATGTGATCTGTCGCAAAGCGTTCTTTTTCTGTTTTTCTTTTGAAATTGTTTATTTAATTTTCCTTTTATTTTTTGGATGATAATCCAGATTGTTGCCGTTTACTTCTACCATGTTGGAATCTCTGAATTCTAGTCAGCTTTACAATTTTACCTGTGGGAGGTTGCCATATTCTGCTCATAAAATTATAACTGAAAGCTATCTTACGTGGGGAAGTCACACTGACAGTTAATAATTGAGTTAGTTTTTAATAAGTCATTTGAACTATGGTTTGCATGTTTATTGTTCCTTGTTCTGATGTTCAATTTTACCTTTGCATGTTTTCATGACTAAAAATTCACCTATTTTTTAGATTTCAATTTTTGTGTATTTTGTTTGTTACATCTTTAAGTGAAATTAATTTTCAATATCTACATTGTTGATGGCCATGCTTCCATATTGTACTGAAATCTTATTTTTTATTGTGTACAGATTGGAATTCTAGCAGTGAGGAAATGCAAAACCAAATGGATTTGTGATGATGATGCGCCTGTGCATGTGTACTGTTAACATTTGAGTTTTGGATTCAGAATGTTTGTCCTTTTTTGTGTAAAGTACACATGAAGTGCATTTTTACATCTCCTAGCCATCTGTGATTATTATTTATTATCTGTTATAGATCACTTGTCATATAAAGACAGTGGACTGAAATTGTATAGAAAAAGGTGAAAAAAAGGCTACTTTTGTTACCAAAGTCTAACCATTGGGTGCATGCACTAAGCAGTTTGAGAATGCGTGATTACTGGAGCAGTGTCGAATTAGTTGTTAACAATTTTTTAAGACTCTGGAATACTTGTGCGTTTGGAAAAAACACATTGTTCCCCTTTTCTAATTTTAAATTGCAGGTTTGGATGGTTTTTCATGCGTCCTTTTTCAGTCTTTGTTCTAATTTTTTTTTTCACATAAGTTTCTGATGTGTTGGAAACTGGTAATATGTCGCTGCTTGAATATTCTTTGTTTCAGAGGAAGCCTTAGGTTTAAAAAATTTGTTCTTATTTTTTTTTTTTTTAATGATATGAATTTAACAAAACAGCCTCATGATTTTTCTTCGTATTGTAAATATCGGGCTGTATTTTTCGCCAACTTTTCTAGTCATGGCTTAGGGGCATTGCAGTAGTGTAAATTTACCAATACTTTTAATTTCCTGGGTTTTTTTTCTTTTGGTCTTAAGCTCTGTCTTAATTCAAGTTCTGTACATTCCAAATGTTAACAGCTTAGGACTTGGTATTTGTTTCGTTTTATGGTCTGCATTCACTAAAGTAAATTGAAATTTGGCCCTGTGTATTTTATTTTATTCAGGAAAAGTATTTGTATTAAATAATCAAATATGGTATTGTGCCTTTAAAGAAAAATAAGACTCATGCAATAAAACCTTTCATGTTCTATGTTTGATTTACCTACTAGCCCCAAACAACACAGATTTGTTGAAATTTTGTTGATGGATGGCTACTTTCAGGCCATTTGTTAATATTTTTATTATTTTTGTTTTGTATTTAACATTACTTTTCCTGTAGAGCATACTTTCTGTGTATAAATACGCACCATGTGGCATTACCAAATATTTTGTGAATATTAACTTTGTGTTCTGTTAAATATTTAGAAAAGAAAATAGTTTAGCTGATGGAATTTTTTTTCGTTGCATAGAAAATATGGGTCAATTTTTTTTGTTTCTGAAGCACTCCTCCCTCCATGTAGTGTGATTTTAATTCCAAGTGGCAGCTATGTATGCAGACAAGACTGATACTTTGTAAAATTGTGACTTAAAGAGAATGTTTCAACAAAAATATTGGTAACAGCCCATGGATCTATATATATATATACATATATGATATACTTATATTTTCTCTTTGACTATAACGTTCAAAATTATTAGGTAATAATCAGTTTTGCGGCGTCTCATTCATTGATTGAGGCGTGTTCTGCAGAAAGAAGTCCCATTTTACATACTATCACTGTAATGTTTGTAGATTGTTATCTACTGTATTATTGTGTAAAGTTCACTTTGCTGTTGGGGCATAACAATTTTTTAACATTTTTTTATTGGCATGAGTGCAAATGAGCTTGTTTTTGAGTCTTCATAATGGACTTTTTGGAATGAAGGAAGTTATTATTTAGGAACACAGTTGTGTGTTTGGTAATTTTTCGATCCACGTAAAAAAAAAAAAGTTCTGGTTCCATTTAATCACTGGAACACTTAAACTTCATCCGTATTTACTATATTTATTATTGAAGGAGATGTTTAAGGAGTATCAATGCTGTTTCTGGTGGGTCTGCAACTCAGGAACATGGATTGCCTATTGCAGAAGAGTGACAATGTATTATTCATTTATGTATGTAAATTTGTACGTTGATAGATATAGTTTTGCGAATCGGAATTATTGTGTGGACTGAGCTGTTTGGTTTTCATTATGAGTATTGTTGCTGTTTTGATCCAATTGGTCTTTTCAAAGGCTAAGATTACAAATTACGACTTTGTATTAGTAAAATAAGACTTGGTTAAAGTTGCTTGTTTTTTAAAATTTCCCTAAACTAAATGGACACCATTTGCAGACCCGCTACACCACCAATGTGCATTGCACAAGGGTAGAAGATTGAAGATCCTGTGATGGCAGATTTATGCAGAGGTGATTATTTTTTTAGGCTGAAATTCCTTCATAGATTATTCCTAATGCTTATTGTATGTTAACTTCTAAAATTAACAACCAGTGTGATAACCAAGTGGTTAAAAGTTCTTTGTTTCATAATGCTACTTTTGATGATTTTTCTTTACCAGTACATGAAGTGAGTTAGTCTTTGAGGGTTGCAGTAAAAGTAGAAAAGAAGCCAAAATAAATTGTCTGCAGTACTGTCTCACTTTAGTTTGCTGGAGAGTAGCCTGTGACAAGGGTTTTCTTTCGCCATGTGGACTGAAAGAATGGCTACAAGTATTATGAAAATTGTATTTTAGCTACAGTAAGATAAATTTTGATGGTTTTTTTTCACCTTTTTCTATATCTATGCTATGTATTTGCATTTGTTAGCCCAGGAGCATTGCATTTACTTGACTGCACTTTGTAGTAGCAATTGCTAGTCATTTTGGTACCTTCCCCCATGCTGTTTTGAAATAAATTTTTAGCAATGTAACCAGTGTTCATAGCCTTATGCTTTTTATGAATTCTTGCTGCTAATGATTTTCTGCCCCCTTCTCCGCCTCCTCTCATTTTTTTAATTAAAGAAAAAAAAAATCACCAAATTTTAATAATGTTACTGTTATTTTTTATAACTTGATATTGTGGTGTCTTGTGGGTTCATAATTTATAGTTTTGTATGTTCAGCTTGATAATAAAAAAAACCTCTTGAAAATTCAGGATTCTTGTTTTGTTCTATTTATAATATATGTGTGGAAAGTATGCTTTTTTAATGTGTTGGATTGGATGGGATCTGTGTATATACTCTAAGATAGGGAATAAAAGGGGGGGCTGGACAAGTGGTCAAAAATTAATAAATTGGGGGCACATTTACTTCATACCCCTGTACTAGTAGGAACAAATCTGTTTTATTTCTCAGAACGGAGATCATGAAATTTTTGTGATTTTAGTAAGTTGCGGTGATAACTTTTCCCATTTAGTATAGGAACAAACCAGTTTCATAAAAAAATATAAACCAATGTACAAAAGTTTTTAAAATGCACAGAAAATTGAGGTAGCCAACCTGGTACCGCTACTAATATTGAGGGTGATTTGCAATAATTTACACCAAAAAAAAAGTTTCATTCAATTCAGATCTAGACTCTAGATGTAATGTTTCACATGATCATCGGGCGTGGCAAGCTGGAAAATAATAAACGGGGGGTATGGAATAAGGAGTGGGGGCGCGCAAAAAAACCTGAAAATTAATGAGCGGGGGAGGGGGGGGGGGGGGGGCTATTCGATACCTTAGAGTACTCTGCTCAATCATTTGAGGGACAATTTATCAGTAAAGGACAATCTCTAAAGGATGAGTCATTTTTCTTTGCCACACAAAGGATTCACCTCATGTCAGGAGAAATCTGGTTGGTTATCGGGAATTTCTTATTCTTATTAAACATACCACCACTACCACCAGAACAATAACTTATTGTTCTGGTGGTAGTGGTGGTATGTTTGTTTTAGTAAAGTTTTACTGCGCTCGCAACTGCAGCCACAGCAAACATTAAAAAAAAGATTAATAAACTAGGTTGAGGAATCTCACTAACTCATTGTGTAGCTGTAGCTCACTCACTTGTCTTTCTGCAATAATTGTAAATGTTTTACACCACTCTCTTGTCTTTCTGCTATGATTGTAAATGTTTTACTCCCCCCCCCCCCTAGTGGGTGGTTAGCGGGCGCTCTGGTGTGGTCTGCTCCTTCTTTCCAATAAAAATCTCTCGTCCTTATCTCTCCTCCTTCTTTTTTGTGTTTGTAACTCTCTTGTAACACCTTTAATCGTCGGCACTTATATGACTTTATTGTGTTACAAGTGCCGTAAAACTCTTACTGAAACTTACTAACGCTTACACCCCAAGCCCTAGTAACATCTTAAGGTCATACAGGAGGCGGGCTACTTCCACTCGCCTGTCAAAGCCAACCTGGGCCATCTTTATCTTAACAGATGGGCAGTGAAACTTGATGAAATAACTTCCCCTCATGGCAATTCGAACTCACACCTTCATCACCAACAATGAAAAGCCTAACCATTCCTTTGCGTTTCCAGGGGCAAATGCTTGTGTTGTAGTGGTACTAAAGGGGGCAAATGCTTGTGTTGTAGTGGTACTAAAGGGTTATTGCTCCCACTCTGTGGTGGTGCTTGGTACGTCACTCACTCAGTCTCAGTCGACAGCGAGTCTGTTCTCATTGACCTCCTTTTGGAACAGTCTTGCTGTTCCAAGGTGTGCCGCCTAGTTGCTAGGTGGCTTCAGTACTTTGTATTTTGTCCATGAACCCAGGGCCATGGACCTTTTTATGAAAGATATAGTGTGGCCGTTTATGGTTGGTGGGCGCTGTGGTGTTGTTTGCTTCTTCTTTCCTATCAAGCATCCATCGTCATTACGATTATATCTCTCCTCTTCCTTTTCTTTGTATGTTTCTCTCTACTACAGTAGAACATGACTAGCGGGACCTGTGGGTGGTTGGCAGGTGCTCTGATGTCGTTTAACGCTCCTTTTTTCTATCAAACATCTATCGTCCTTATCTCCCCTCCTTCTATTTTGTGTTTGTTACTCTCTTGTAGCACCTCTAATCTTCGTCACTTATATTTTATGACCTTATTGTGCTGTTAGTATCGTAAATCTCTTACTAAAAGTAAAAGAAACAAACAAACGGCGGGACCTCCCCGGAATCCTCTTTTTTCCCCTATGTAAACTCAATCACCTGTGTTCGGATTTAATGACTCAAGGAAACAGTGGGAGAGATCGAGCAAGCTGTAGCTGGGGGCGCTGTAGACGAGCTCCAAACAGACAGTCAGGGGTGCCGTGTTGAGGCGAAAACATAGAGAACGTCGATTTCAGAGACTGACTCATTGAGCGCTGATGGGTATAAAAATTCCCTTATTTCCAACTTGCCCCACATAGAGTGAGCTGGCAGACTGCAGGCGGCTTGAAAATTTAAGCTCGGATCGGCGTTGTCGGCTTTATCGAAATCCAAACTACATTCTCATTACGCCGAAAAACTGGGAAGGGCGTCTCGCTGTCAACTCGCGACCTCCGTGCTTTCTTGTCCTATCTCCATTTTTTAACAGTGAAAATGTGACTTTTTCTTAAACTCGCTCTTTTTTGTGAACTGCTTTCACTGTTATTGAAAATGGAGATGCGACAAGAAAGCACTGAGGTCGCGAACTCTCAATGGCGTCTCGTCGTCGCCAACTCAGGTTGAGCGGTTTTCGTTACTTCACCCGACTGGACTTGGGACAATTTTAAATGGTCATTTCAGAGCTGGTGCTTCACGGTAGACTAAAACCAATTACGTTTTTGAAATCAGCGTCGTCAAATTAGGGTGGCACTCGAACAGAATTACATTTTAAGCAATATTTTCGGAATTTCGAGGTTTTTTAAATACCCAAATAAATCATAAATGCTTCATAAATACCAGCTGTGCTGTGTTGTAATTTTTTTCTAGGTATACGCGCCCTCTATGTGGAGTCAAGCAGACACCTACTGGCGACTGTCCGCGTCGATCTTCAGCCGCATTTCGGCGTTCTTTATGTTATCGCCCTTGTGATTGAGCAGTCCAGTGATGAGTGAGGTGGGGCAGGCCGATGCAGGCGGTAGAGATCAGAGATGGTGCTGAGAGATGCGTTACGCGAGCAACTCCAAAATTGATGTGCCGTAGCTTAAACCCTCAATAATAGAGCATATATATATAATATATAGGCCAAAACCCAAGGCCTAAACTTGGCCAAAATGAAGAGGAGAGCGTGTGGTGTGTGATTCTTGATTCATTGAATTGCGATCGTTGATACTCATAGAGGCAAACGCACGCATCCACTTCACCAGTTCTACAGTAGTCCTACCGTACCGGTATGATATTGATAGACAGCATAAGCAACGAGACCGAGGAAAAGATGGTTTCCAACAAAGACAAATGGAAATGCTTCTCACTCGAATTAAAGGCCGAGATAATCAACGAAGTTGACACAAAAAAAAGAAGAAAAAAAAGAAAGACTAATCTAAAGCGCAAATTTTATTGATATGGAAGGGATGTAATCATGGGGATTTTAAGAAATTCTTCGGTAATTTCCCTTTGCAATCATATAGCAGGAACTTGCCCACAGCGGGAATGTTCTTCTGGAACCAAATGTCCCGCTGTTCTACTGTAATGCCTCCGGTCTTTGGCACTTTAAAATATACATGAGGGAGGAGAACATCTTTAATTATCAAGTATCTCAGTCTTTCTGCTCAATCAGCCTCGGTGGCCCTGACAGGCACTGTCGGAAGCCCACCCCTTAAATGATCGAAATTGTGTCCATGCAGTTGAAAAACAACCCCCCCCCCCCCCCCCCCCCAAACAAACCCAACACCCCCACCCGTCTCCAAATCACCCCCCCCCCCCACCACCAAAAACAAAAACCTTGCTAGCTGCCACACGACCTACCCTATAGACATGTTTTTTTTTTATAGTACAATGTAGAGGGTTTTACGGCGCTCGCAACTGCATAAGGTCATATGAGCGCCAAGGGCTGGGTGTCAACAGAGAAGTCTTTACAGGAAATCAGACTTAAACTGCTCACCTCTCTAGCTTCAACAGCACAAGGTCTGCTTCGACTATCAAGGCACCCCAAAATAGCAGGTCACAAGAGAGAGACAAACATACAAAAGAAGTAGAGGAAAATGACAATAGTAAGGATCAGGAAAGAAAAAACAGCAGTTCCCTGTTGTAGATCAGGCACAGTTATGAGCGTGACATAAGTCAGCCCATTTACAATTCTACTATGCTTGAACGAGAAATGTCCCCCCTTTGGGAATAGCCTAAAGACACTACAGTCAGTGGCACTGGCTCGGGGGGTATAGACATGGTTGTTTGACCTCCCAACATCATAGCTATAAAGTCAGAGTGGATTTGTTGTAATCCCATACATTCGGTTTTAGTTACAGGACTGAAATTCACATGTAACCATAAAGGTAATAGTAATATCCTCTACCTCAAAGACAATATTGATCTTCTATGACCTTCTATGCAAGGGTAAGATGGTGTATGTTTCTGGGCTGACTATTTCATCAGCAGTACATAGTCATAATGACCTAAAAATAGGACTAATTCGATCCTTGAAAATGTCAACCAAGTAGGGCCCTGTGCATCTGCTCAATACACGTAAGCTTACTCCAATAGGCCTATATATATTCGGTTAATACCAAAAAATCAGAGCAGACAGAAAACATTTTTTGCAGGAGGCTGCAACAAATATATAATATAGATCTATTTAAGCACATGTAGTACCTGACTCCTATGTCTGTTCATGCAGGCATGATGAGCGAATAACTTTTTTTTTTCCTAAAGTATTTATAAGAGGACAGGTTTGTTAGAATGTTTTGCATTTGTCGCACGCAATCCACGTAAGTCCCAAATTTTGAGAATTTTAAATTTCTACACCTTTCAACATCCCCAAAATGCAGTTTAATGCTATGGTCAAGGCTTACAAAGTTACAATATTCTTACTTTTCACAATTCCTGACAGGAACAACACAATAAAAACTACAGTTGAAACTGTCTAAGACGGTCTTTCAGTATTGAGGAAAAAAGTTGCCTCATTACACAGGAGGCCAGCTCACAGTGTCAGTATAATGTAAAAAATACACAAGGGAGGAAACGGGAAGTGGCCATTTGTGCAGGTGATTGTCTACATGTACAGGTAACTGAGCAGTTTTGACTGTAGTTTTTTGTCTCTGGTATAAAGGTACCCAAACAAACTTAAATGCATTGCTTGCGACACTGACGATATTGTCTTTCAGGGTCAGGATGAAAAACTGTGAGACCTTGATGCCATGTAAGCACCTGTTGTAAGACATCTTGACAATTTAAAAAAGAGTATAGACTATCCACTGAATAGTTCAAAATCAGCCACCCCCTAAATTGGTAGAAACTGTTGTAAGCATTTAAAAAAAAATCAAGAGTACCTATGAAAATTGCTACAAGAGGTTTTTAAAATGTTTTAGTAGGGGTTTTACGGTGCTCGCAACTGCATAAGGTCATATGAGCATGTGAAACATAAGTTGGTTGCATTCTCAGCAGTACATAGCACGGCTAGGTTCAGGTCAACAATCAGATTTTAAAATGTTAAAAACTTGAGGTAAAATAACAATCTATAAATGGTAGAGCCTACTCTGCTTATATGTATTTTTACAATGGCCAATGGCCTTTATAAAATCAAGGATTCTGTTGGGATCAACGATGGAAAACAGATCTTGCAATTTTTAAAATCTAAAATATTACTTTCGGGTCTCTCCGAAGTCTAGACATTCTGCTAAATTGTGTCTAATGGTAAAATCTTTATCGCGTCCGACACAGAACGACTTCTCATCTCCTATAAGGAAGTATTTATGTGTCAGGGACATGTGTCTGATGCATAATTGAGTAAAAAAGACTTAGTCTCTTCTCGAGCGGCCTGAAGGTTTTCGCGGATCCAGTTTGGGCTTAATGTTGAGTAGTTTATTATTTATTTGTTTCTTCCAATGAGTCTCCCACAGACTGGAGGTGTATTTTTTTAAACTTTATTTTCAAAATTGCTATAAGTAGGTTGGATTTTCAAATACATTACATTACAAAACAAATAGTGGCACTGAAGAATCTACTGCCAACTACCTTTGAAACATATGAAGAAAGCAATTTTTGGCAACTGAGAAAATACTTCACTTTGTATGTTTACATGTAATAAGCACAGTAGAAAGACCCAACAAATCTTCATATATATTCAAACACCATTGATAAAGTTTTAATTTAATTCAGAAATATATTCTCCAAAGATAGTAGAGAACTGATATTTCAAATTATAATTTCCATGTCATGTGTATGAACAATAAATATCTCACTTTCATAGGAGAAATTTACAAATCAACGTCAGAAAAACCCATTCAATGCACCTTTCATATATGAACAATTAATTAATGAAATTTAAAAGAAAAATGTAAATCAAGAGCCAACAACGTAAAAAGTAATCCCAAAGCTTCAGGAATGTATATATATAGGCTAAATAAGTGATCCTTATTTCACTTCAAACAGAGTAACGAGTAATATGACAGGCCAAGTGAGATTATGATTCGAACAGAATAGAAGAGCACGGTATGTGTAAGAAATCCTTCAGAAACATCATTAAAGGCAACAAAATTATGCTGATGTTATTGTAACATGCATTCATTTTTAGAATTAGAGCAAAAGGTCTAAAGTGGCGGAAGAGTTAAAGTTTACTTACCTCTACCTATATATATCCCAATTTCAGCGACTGCTAAATATTTTCATTGTACCACTACCAGGCATGTGTCACACTTAAAAATCCCAATCACAAAAAAAACATTCTGATCGTAAATATCTAAAAAGAAATACATCAGCTGTTTATTCATGATTAACGAGAACAGGTGTTTCGAACAAATGGACAGGACAAACTGGGGAGTCTATCTAAATATCATTATAGAAGAGTAACTTGGTTTGACTTCAAAAGGTCTTGGTTCAAGTGTTGAATGATATAAACTCAAAGAATGTATTTTTTTTAAAAAGGAGATCAAAATCTCAGTTCGAGGAGTCCATGTTGTCAGTTACGCACCTTATAAATGGATTTGCATGATAGTGTAAAACAGATGTGCATACAATTTATAAGGCACTAGATATGATCAAATATATAAGCATAACTCATTTTTACAAAGACACATACATTCTTGAAAGATATTGGCACATTCATCATTTTGTGTTTACTGTGTGTCAATAGCAAAATACAAACTATACTTAAAACAAAATGACTCCATTGGAAGTATATGTGTCGTGATGCAGTGGAATCAGGCGCTCATCAATTTTTGGGCATGTTGAGTTATTGGCATCATCTTAAAGCTTGTTCATTTTTCTTGCTTTCCATGAAAAAAACCCACCGAACATCTTTAATAAAAGTCCAGATATTTGTGATTGAAGGAGGTGAGGGTCGCCTGGTTTCAGAGGTAAAGTTGGCGAGAAAGTGGCCATCAAAGTTTGGTGATTTCAATAGCTTGATAAATGATAGTCATTGGAAACTGAACATTTACATAATTTGTGCCGTAATCAACGTTTTTCAGTAAATTCCACACGGAACTGTGGTTTTAAATGGACATAAAAGGAGTTGAGCCAAAAAACAAAAATTTGATAAAAATTGCCAAACTGGTGGGACAGGGTCGGTTTCTTCTATTCCACTATTTTGACGAGCCCCTTTCCCCACAATGCCCCACAAAGGTTTTTTTAAAGCAATTTCTACACAAGTGTGCTCATTAACTATTTTATACTTTGCATAGACTACCTGATTGACTGTAGTTACAGTTACAGATTTGTTAATCACAGCTCATGGATTTGTTACATAAACTCAGGAGAGACATGTATTACAAAACAAACATGGTATGATCAGAACTCTTCAAAAGAAGATAAAACATAAAATGAGTGTTTTGTAAGGCGATACTAAATCTGATGTATGTATCAAAACACATTATGTCTGTTAGGACAAAATAACATGACCCCAAAAATGTTTTAAATAAATATCTCAAAATTAGTATGCATGAAATGCTCACAAAGATGTAAACACAAAACTTGTTTCTGCCAAAATTTGAAAAAAGGAAACTCACTACCAATATTATGATTAGATAGTATTTCATAAATCATCTCCTCGTAAGTACATAAAAAATGAGCTGGAATGGTCCCAGGCACTATGCAGTATAGTGACATAAGACAACCCACAACATCAGACAATGGGAAAAGACTTTAAGGGTACTTTACATGAAAAAATGAGTACAAAATGAAATCATCAAAACAGAATCTCATTGTATAAGAGCATTGAAAAAATTGAAAAACAAACCAAACATTTTTTTTCTCAGCTGAATGTATATTGGGAAACAGATATAATATGAATGTTTGAAGATAAAGAGAATCTGAACACATTTTATGTTGTGTTTTAAGGGAAAACAAACACATGGTACTTTGTCATTACAACTTTATCTATTTAGTCTATTAAGTACAAGGCAATTGCCACGTGTGTGCAGTACTAAAAAGAGTAAATTGATAGTGATAGTTACAGCAATTTAGATAATAAACTTTCGTACAAAACATGAACAAATATTTCAATTGAGCAGGATAAAATAATAAGTAAGGCATTAAAACTTTAACAATTAAAAACACAGATGCGATGTAAAGAGAAAAGATAGTTTTTGTTTCCACTGAAACTTGATCACAAAATCAGCCAAACATTGCCACTATGACAACCACACCCAAAAATAAGATGCCAAGAATCACAGGACTCAGGATTCCATACACTGGCCACAGACCAACTGAAAGGCTGAAATACAAAAAAACAAAACCCAAATAAATTGATTGATCCTCAAAAACAATATTAGATTCACATTTACATAACAATCAATACAACATAACATTTCACTGATTCAGTGGAGGTGTGGGGGGGGGGGGAGGATATAGTGCTATCTATGGAGCAAACTCCTGACAGCCCTGAACAGGAGAAGAGCTAAACACAATGTAGTTTGTTTCAGTTTCTCTTTCATGTACACATATATATGTTGAGCCTGTTTATGAGTAGATAAAATACAAACTTAATGAAGAGGTTTATACAACTTATATCATGTCCGATTCTGAAGCAAGGGTCTTTGGTTGTACTTTTTTACTGAAATTCTTCTCCTTATCTTGTTAGACATGTGCTCTAAAGCTGAGGTTCTTCCCGTTAGTTGGCCTCCAGAGTGCTTGAAAAAAAAAAAGGGGGGGGGGGTCAGAAGGTGGGGATGTGTGTTAAACTCAAGTAGGGTGCTCCGTTAGCTCAGTTGGTATCATGCTGGACTACGGAGTAGATGGCTCTGGTTCGAATACCCAACAGGACGTTCTGAACTCAAAACAAGTTTAAAAATATGAAAACTTGTAAATTCTTTGCCATATTGACAGGCTTGAACTCATATGGGTCCTGAATCAGAAAAATGAAGTGCCGTAATGTAAACTCAAGTAAACAGTCAGCTAAAAAACTTGTTCAATAATTTGCAACAGTCCTGGTTTCTTTATAAGGCACCTTTACTTGCCCCTATTTACTACAAAAGTAACTACCCCAAACATACTATTGGCACATTGAAATTATCTGAAGTAGCACGAAGATCCCAACATCTCTGTGCGGCATGACATTGAAAATCTTGCAGCCATCAAAGCTGCACAGACAGTGCTCATTAGATCCAACAAACATATGAAGTGAGGAATAAGTGAATTTGATAAGTGAGAAGTTTTTCTTCTTCCTCAGGTCCTATCTCTTATTTATACAATTTCATCTCCCTGTTACCCTATGATAAAGTAAATGTCTGCATTCCTTATTTGATTTGATATTCTTTCTACAGCCTAATGAATTTAGTATGGTTTAACTGAAAATGAAATTAAAGAAAGAGATTAAACAAACAAGATTCTATAAGATATTTACATGAAGTTTACCATGGCAAAGTAGAAATAAATTATACGATAAAAATCAATTGCTTTTGTCTTGTCACCCACTTGAATCTTAATGAAATCCCATAATACTATTAATACTTTTACTACATTGCAGAGGGAAAATCCTTTCACATCAGAAGTTTTGCCTTTTCATATAATGAAAACACTATACTGGTACATGCAAAGTCAACTGAATCATCATAGTCTCTTATATCATAGTCTCTTATACTAGAGCATTAGACTTCATAAACTACAATCTTTCCACCCAAAATAGAAAAAAAATTGTACCAGTCCATCCATAATGTATGTCCCCCCACCCCATCCATTATTTTAAAAATAAAATATCCCTTATTGCCAATAAGAAGAAAAAAACAATCTATCTTTTTCTCAGAAACAAAACATTTCTCTGATGAGTCATTTCAGATACTCTAAAGTATTTCTCAACATTTAATCTCCTTTATAAACAATAAGCAAGAATAATTGGAGAAGATGCATATCTAGCACGCGAGAGTGTCATATCTTTTTAAAAAATCACTGTCTAAAGAGAACCTTGAAAGTTAAACTTTCAACCCAGGGGCCTTTTATTTGACAATGCTATCAGAAAAGAGTATCCCCCTGTTACAAATTAGAGTTTCAAGAAATCCACCACACTGACAAAGTATTCCACCCAGTTAACATGCTTTTCTTTTTTCGAAATTGAATTCATACGTAATCTATCACAGTATTCACAGCGAAATTCAAGTGGGTGCAGTGGGCTGGAATCTAATGAAATATTGTAAGGACATCTCCTCCCCAAAAAGTCTTTGAGGAAATTGTTTTATTGATTTTTTTAGCTCTTTGAGGACCTAGTGGACACATATGTCTGACTAAAGACAATGGTGTAGCACATTTACAACTATACTGCACAATTCAGAAACTTAAATTTGATTAATATTTCATAGTTTGTATGCTGTTGTTTGCTATTTTTAAGTTTCAGATAAAGAAGACATCTGAAATGACTGCATGAATTAAAAAGTTATACTTCCAAAAATATCGTCTTCAAGCGTTGTCGAATAACCAGTCTTCAGAGAGTAAATGACCACAAGAAAGTTTTTGTATATAAGTAAAAAAGTGAATGTCCATCTTCCAATTTCCACTGAGCCTAAACATTTTCAATTAAAGAACTTTTTTCTTACCACAGAATTCCGATGATGAAAGAGGCTGCAGCTATTGGAATGGCTTTAGGATATCTCGTTTCCCACTCGTCTGGGCCAATCTTCCTAAAGAAATTACAGTAAATAGCCAGGAAGAGGCAAACACCGATATGGAGAGTAAAAGATGTTGTTCCAATCCAGTACCACGTGCTGTGAATATAAGATGCAAAACAGTCTGTTACTGATTTGCAAACATACTTCAATACAAGGATAATTGGTCCATCTTATTACATGTATGTAACAAGTTGGCAGCTACATGAGTCAAGGCGAATAGAAATAGAAAATGCACAGCTGGGAAATGGGGTGGGGGTGGGGAGAGGGGGCTAAAGCTACCTCAGCCATTAATTTACAGCAAATATTTGTGTTGCATATTTATTGGATTATGCAATAGACTATAACAAAATTAATTTTTTAAAAACAGATTACATTTACTTAGCGCATATCCCTGTTCAAAAGTAGGCTGATTAGTTTCTAAGCATGATACAATTTATTATTAATCCTATAACAATCTGAACATTTCTCAGAGTCCAGCACAGGCTGCAATTTTACAGGTGCTCAAACACCACCATTTTAAACAAATCTGTCACCGTCCTAGCCTATCTTCCTCTAGGTCAGGGATCACATCACCACACTTTTTTTCAATATGGAGCAGATAACTGAGAAAATGCTGAGATATATAATAGTAATTGGCCTACACTGAATACATATAAAATAAGGACAACCATCCACTCAACTTATATCAGTACACAAACACAAAATACACAAAAAGATAAAGACAACAAACATCTGGGGAATCCCTGTTTGTGAGCAACCAGGGATAAAAAAAGGATCCTTGTTTGTAATAGGAAATGTGTTAAATGAAAGATTTGTCACAATAAAGCTGAGCAGGAGTGTGACAAATTAGCTAGAAGTTCTGTAGCCTTTAAAAGATTGTTTAATTTGTATTATAGAAATTATTGAATCATTCTTGTGATCAAGTCCGAGCACACTACGCAAACATCTTCAAAGTTTTTTTTACTCGTACTTCTGCATATATGGCATGGTAGTGAACCAGATAAACTGTTATCACCGGCCGGGACTGGCCCATGGGTAGAACATGTAGTTTGATGACCCCTGCTCTAGGTGAAATGTTTCACTTAAAGCCGCCAGGTTGGGTGTGGACCAGGATTTGAACTTTGAAACTCCGACCTTATAGTCGCAGGTCTCATACTTATAGCTCAACCACTGACCACTAGGCTACCAACACCACAAGTAACAATGAAATATGTAAACAGATCAGGCTTTTGAGTACTGTGTGCAACTTTCCACTTTCACTGCTTTGTATTTCTTAAGGCTGCAGACTTTAAAATAGATGGGAAGTAAAGTAAATATTTGTTCATTTCTTAATTGCATGGAAAAAGTAAAACATTTTGACAGGCAGTGTCTGATGGATTAATGGCTCATTTTTCTCAGAGCGTCTCATTATTCTCAGCTCATTTTTTAAAGAGATAGTCTCATTATTCTCATTGTCAGAGTACAGGACAGAATTTTGTTTTTTCAGTGTGGAAGAAGAGAAAAGAAGATAACAGGCTACCATCGATGATTTTACAACAGAACGGCTAAAGTTTAAAAGTGACTGCAACAGCAAAAGGACACAAGACGTGAATGCAGCTCAAACATCAAACCCTATAAGGGAGCTTTATTAGCAACAGCTGCAATTGTAGTTGATCCAAACCCTTGAAGATAGTTCTATCTTTGAAAATTATTTTTTGTTAGAGACAACTGTTGAGATCCCTGCTGCTACCTTCAACATTATTGTTAAATTTTTCTCTACTCTAACTATTGACAGGGATGTTGTCCCTTCTGTTGCAATTGATGCTAGTATTTTTCTGTTGAGTTTTCACGGTTTTTGCTACAGTTAAAATTATTAAAGATCTTTTGACTGTTACTGTTGATATATTATCTTAAATTGTTATTGCAGCAGCCACTGTTGTAGCAGCTGGTTTTCTTTTTTCTTCAACAACCTCCTTCTGAGCTCCTCAATCTCTTTCACTTCTTGGTCCTCAACTTCCCAATAAACTATTATAAACATCATGGTTATTGTCCTCCTTCTTCTCTTTTAATTACAATAATTTTTTTTTTACTGCTCTGTACTGTAAATGTATCTTTTTCTCAAACTTACTGGCCAAAAACATGATTTCATTTTTAAGCCAACTCATCCTCCTCCCCTAAAAATTCCTTGTCTATCTTTTCAGAACTTTTCTATTCGAATAAATCTTTTTCTTAAGTTTGAATGTAACATTTTCATGAGGAAAAGATACTTGCCCCCATTCTTCATCTGACAGTCTGTGGCTGTGAAAATCAAAGTGTCTAATTCCCTAAATTTCCATTAAATTTATGGAGATCCAGCTCAAGTGACTTAGTTCAGTGCAATATTCTAGGAATGAGCTTCACAGTTGTCACCAACATGAGATGAAGTGTAAACCGAAAGAATGAATTTATGGAGTACCTGCTTTTAACATTTCAATAAGGGAAAGATGAAAATAGAAAAAAAATGTGAACATTTCTCATAATAATGAATTTGAATTCTTACATGTAAACGCGTTGATCATACATCATGACTTTAAGGAAATCAGCAAAGTAAAACACTGCGACAGCTGCAATCAACAACAGGATATTTTGGACACAGAATGGTGACTTCTTTTTAGAATCCTCCACTGAAGCTGGCTTTTCCGCTCCAGGTGCATTCTCATCTGGAGACAGAAAAAAAAATTTGCTTTCTTGGGGTAAAAAATTAACAGGAACACCTCAACCCCCCCCCCCCCTACCTTGAGACACCATTTGCATCAGCTTCTCTTCAGTAGAGGCATCGGGAATTATTGAATAAGGTTAGAAGTGGAAGGATGAGTAACTGAAATTGGAAGGTTCAAGAAAACAATTTCTACAAGTAGAATTAAATCAAGACTATGACGAGAAAGGACTATACATATGGGGGTACCACCTGAGAACAGACAGGAACAGCTATCTTTAAAAAGATTTTGCCTTATATTCAGGAGGCATATTAACATAAGAAGTCATCATCATCAATGCCTTTCATTTATCTCTTCCTGGGCCATTCTTCCAAGTGAGCTTCATCTCTCTCATGTCCCTTTCCACACATCTCCTCCATGTCTCCCGGGGCCTACCCCTGCCTCGTGCTCCCAGTGGGTTTCACTGCAGCGACTGTCTTGTGATGTTTCTGCTGGGCTTTCTGAAGGTGTGTCCCATCCATCGCCACTTTTTTAGTCCTATTTCTACTTCTATATATATTCTTTTGTCCTGTTCTTTCCCACAGCTATTCATTTCTTATTCTATCCTGCCACTTAATTCTTAAGATACTCCTTATACATCTGTTGATGAAAGTCTGGACTTTATTCAATACTGACTTTATTGTCTTCCAAGTTTCGCAGCGTAGAAGAGCACAGACTTGGCATTGGAGTTAAAGAGTCGAATTTTGGTGCGCAGTGAGATGTTGCTTGCTTTCCAGACTTCTGATAATTGATTGAATGCTGACCTTGCCTTCGCGGTTCTTGCTTTTACATCTGCCTCGTTCTCCGAGTGGAAGCGACCCATGTGTTTGTTTTAACAAGGCACTCTGTCTTCCTCGTCTGATGCATTTCGTTTTATTGTCACCTTTGCGCACAATCAGCAACAAAATAAAAATTACAAACAAAATACAAACCACCACCACCAACAACAACAAAAACAACAGCAATGCGGCTACTTTCGATTGGAACCTCTGATGGAAAAGGTTTGTTTTCTTCATCTTGATCAGTCCTGCCTAAGACGGCCACCTGTCTTATACGGCCACTTTTCTCCTTGACAATGGGTGGCCGTCTTACACAGGTTTGACTGTACATAAAAAGGCACTGAAGTGTTCAAAATGTCACACAATCCGAAACACAAAGTTAAATATAGTAGTAGTATAAGGTTTTACGGCGCTCGCAACTGCTAAGGTCATATGAGCGCGCGAAACACAAGTTGTTCGCCTCTGCGAAAGTTCACTTCACGACTGGTAACTAATTTACTTTAAAATGCTAAAAAGTTAAAATATTCAAATTCGGTGTAAATACATTTGTGATCTAAAACAACTTTTAAGTAACAATAAAAATTTTAAATAATATCAGATTCACTTTACAACTCGCCATAAAGGCCAATGGCCTTTATAAAATTTAAAATTCTGCTGGGAACAACGACGGAGAAAATATCCTGCAATTTCTTGCATTTATAATATTTTCTTCGGATCTCTCCAAAGTCTAGACATTCTGTTAAAATGTGTCTAAAGGTAAAATCTGTGTCGCATCCGACACAGAACGGTTTCTCTTCTCCCTGTAGGAGGTATTTGTGGGTTAGGGCCGTGTGTCCGATGCGCAATCGAGTAAAAATGACTTCGTCTCTTCTGGAGAGATCCGAAGGATTTCGCTGTTCTAGTCTGGGTTTAATTTCATATAATTTATTATTTTTCTGGTTTTCCCAGTGGCTCTCCCACAGACTGGAGGTGTACTTTTTGACTTTATTTCTAAAGTCAGTCTGTGGGAGAGTGTTTGTCGTTGATCCCAGCAGAAGGGATGAAGCTTTCTTCGCCAGGTCGTCTACCTGCTCGTTTCCTCGGATGCCCACATGGCTGGGTATCCATGCGAACATGATGTTTTTTCCTGTTTCGGATAGTGTATGGATTTTCTGTTGTAGCCTAACTATTTTTGGGTGTAGGAGTGTGTAGTTTGTGAGTGAGGTGATGCAAGACAGAGAGTCAGAAAGGATAAGGAAAGATTTGTTAGGGGAATTTTCTACAGAGTCCAGTGCCATGTCAATGGCAGTGGCCTCCGCAGAGAAAATGGAGGCTTCAGGATGGAGTCTCCTCTGGTGTGTATTGTTGGGAGATAGGGCTGCGGCGCCCACTTCATTGTCTTTTTTGGAGCCATCCGTGAAGATGAGCTCCGCACCGGGGTATTTATCTATTAGTTTTTTGTATTCTGCTTGAAATGTTTTGGTGTTTGTGCTTTCTTTGTTGTGTGTGGTCAGCTGTAAATCTACTTTTGCCTTGGTGAGGTGCCACGGAGGGAGGTCGGGGAAAAGAATTTGTTGGATGTCTTGTTTGGAAAAGTGTAAGTTTTTGAGGTCCTCAAGGATTCTGAGGCCGAAAGGTTTGATGAGTTTTTCGTTGTTTTGGAATCTGTTTCTGGTTTCTGGATTTGTTTGAAAAATGCTGTTGTGCGCTGGATTTTCCGGTGTTGAGCTCTGTTTAACTGCGTATTGTAGTGAGAGTTGTGTGCGTCTGAGTGAGAGTGGTGGAATGTTGGCCTCGGCCTGGAGGCTCTCCACCGGAGAAGTGCGGAAAGCCCCCAGAGCGAGGCGGAGTCCTTGGTTCTGTATTGGATCTAGTATTTTTAAGACGTGTGGTTTTGCCGATCCGTAGACTTGACAGCCGTAGTCAAGCCTGGACCGGACAAGGGAGATGTACAAGTGGAGAAGGTGTTTTGAGTCCCCGCCCCACTCCGGATGTGATAGAATTTTCAAAGCGTTTAACGCTTTCTGGCACCTCACACGAAGGTCTTTGATGTGTGGTATGAATGTAAGTTTTTTGTCAAAAATGACACCGAGGAAACGAGCTTGGTCCTGGACGGGAATCCTTTCCCCGTATAGTGTCAAATCCGGCTGCAGCACACGTCTGCCTGTTCGGCAGAAGTGTACTGCAACCGTCTTTGACGGGGAGAACTTGAAACCGTTGTTGTTTGCCCACGTTTCAAGTTTTTGCAGCTGCGTTTGCAGCTGCCTTTCCATAGATCTCAAATGAGGATTTTTCGATCGGCAGCATATCAAGAAGTCGTCAACGTATAACGAGCTGTCTATGCTGTTCTGGAGGGTTTTCACTATGGAGTTAATTTTAATTTCGAAAAGGAGAGGAGAAAGGATGCTCCCCTGGGGGACTCCTTCCTCCTGTTGGTGGGGGTCTGAAAGGGAGGATCCGACACGAACCTGGAAGGAACGGTTCTTCAGGAAGTTGCCAATGAAGGCAGGGAGGTGACCGCGTATGCCGAGTGCGTGCAGGTCTTGAAGAATGCCGTACTTCCAGGTTGTGTCGAAGGCTTTTTCTAGGTCAAAAAAGATGGCGATCATGTGGCCTCTTTCGGCGAACGTCTCGCGTATAAAGGTCTCCAGGCGGACCAGGTGATCCAGAGTGGATCGGGTTTTCCTGAATCCGCACTGGAGACCGCTCAGCGAGCCCGTCGTTTCCAGAAACCACATGAGTCGCCTGTGAATCATTTTTTCAGTTAGTTTGCAGAGACAGCTCGTTAGGGCTATAGGTCTGTAATTGGATGGGTGTGTGTGGTCTTTGTTTGGTTTGGGTATTGGAATGACAGTGGCGAGACGCCAAGACTCCGGAAAGGAGTGCGACCGCCACATGTCGTTGTATATGTGTAGTATGAGTGTGAGTGTTTCTGAGGGTAAGTGTCTAATGATCTTGTTGTGGATGTCATCCGGTCCCGGGGCTGTATCGCCCAGGTCCGAGATGCACGATGTTAGTTCGTCTATTGTGAAGTCTGCGTTGTAGGTTTCAGTGTTGTTTGAGTGGAAGTTTAGGTGTTGTTTTTCTCTGTTAGTTTTGACGTTTTGAAAAGTGGTGTTGTAGTTTGCTTGGGATGAGTTTTTGGCTAGAGATGTAGCTATTGTGTTTGCAATGTCTACTTGTGTTTCAGCTGTTGTTCCATCCGGCCTCTGGACGTGCCGAATGGTGTCTGTGCGTCTACCTAAGAATTTTTTAGCAATTTGGAAAACTTGATTGAGTGGTGTCTGGCTGTTGATTTTGGAGATGTATTTTTGGAATGATTGTCTTTTGCTCTCCCTGAGGCATCTACGTGCCTCAGCTCGAGCCTTTAAATAAAGTATCTTATTTTCTATGGTGGTGTTGTTGACGGCTCTTCGATACGCTGCCTTCTTTTTCTTTACTGCGTCCTCACATTCCCAAGAGAACCAGATCTTGTTCCTCCGGGGTTTTGTTTTTGTTTTTGGAATGTGATTGTGGCATATTTCTAAGAGTTTTTCGTGAAATTTATTGTAGTTGTGGTCGAAATTGGGATTAAGAATCTTGGAACATTGATTGGCAAACCCGTCCCAGTCGGCTTTTTTGAAGTTGAAGCGTTCTGGGATCGGGTCGTTTTGGAGGCTATTGTTTTTGAGGAGAATTGGGAAATGGTCCGTACGGTCATCCAGCACAGACCACTCAAGATCTGGGACTAGTTCAGGGGTACAAAAAGTAAGGTCAAGGGATGAAGTGCCATAAGTGGCTCTGTTTCTGAAAGTTGGGGATTTATCATTTAAGAGACAGATGTTATTTTGAAATAAAAAGTTTTCTATTATTTTACCTTTCTGGTCTATAGGTTTGTCTCCCCAAAGGGGGCTGTGGGCATTGAAATCACCTAGTAAAATAAAGGGTTTTGGGAGCTGGGACTTTAAGTCATTTAGTTGGGTTATTTTGAGGGGGTAATTTGGTGGGATGTAAACTGAGCAGATCGTGATTGGTCTGTGCAGGGTGACCCGTACGGCAATAGCTTGGAGGGTCGTCTTAAGATGTACTTGTCTGTGGAGTGTGTGGTTGTCGGTGTAGATGGTGGTACCACCGGAAGCAATCTGGTTTTCCGTGTGAATGTGATGGTACGCAGTAAATCCTCTTAAGTCTATGGTTGAAGCCGGGGCGAATTTTGTTTCTTGAATA